CTTTTAAGGCCGCGTTCATATCGCTGTGATGTCAATGCATGGACGCTGTGTCAATTCTTCACACTCTAGTATCAACTAATTCATCTTAGGCTTTACCTGATTTACTGAAACGTTAGGCTGACTTAGGTCAATCTAATTCAATCTGAGAGGTTGAATGGTAGAAGTTATGGTAAGGTGTGGTTAGTAGAATAGCACCTAACTGTGATATGCACCAATGTGAACCGCAGTGTAGTCACATATGATCACATCGACTATCACAATATCAGGATAGCACCAGGTGGCATAATAGATCTGATGCACCAATGTGAACTGCAGTGTAGTCACATATGATCACATCAAATTGCATCGACTATGCTACCTAACCTAACTGTGACATGCACCAATGTGAACCGCAGGGTATTCACATATGATCACATCGACTATCACGATACGAGGATAGCACCAGGTGTCATAATAGGTCTGATGCACTAATGTGAACTGCAGTGCATTCACATATGATCACATCAAATTGTATCGACTATGCTACCTAACCTAACTGTGACATGCACCAATGTGAACCGCAGGGTATTCACATACGATCACATCGACTATCACAATACCAGAATAGCACCATAATAGATCTGATGCACTAATGTGAACTGCAGTGCATTCACATATGATCACATCAAATTGCATCGACTATCATACCAGAATAGCACCAGGTGTAATAATAGATCCGATGCATCTCTGCCCAAGAGTGTACCCTCCATCACTCCCTGTAATGTCATCCATTCTCCTGATAAACTATAACCTCAAACTATAGCTCTAAACTGTAGTCCACCCTAACCTCCACACCGTGCCCCAAAGACCTCAACCACCCCTATAGCAATGTGAACGGGCCCGAACCTCCTCGACTTTTCCTTTTTTATCCCTCGATTCTCTCTTTGTTTCATCCTTAACGTCCTTCTCCCTTCAATACGCACGTTTTTGTTCCCTTTAGTCCTGTTTCCAAGCTCCGCTCTTTCGGACTTTGTGTCTTCGGTGGGTACACCTCGTTGATCTCCGTTTTTTTCCCCACCTCTCGGGCCCACACCGCGACTTTTTGATATTCAAAGCTTTCTCGCTTCGTCCTTCTATTCTCTACGCCTGTTTCGCTGCTCGTTCGAGGCTTTTTCTGAGGCCATCCGGCACGCTTTGCGTAGCCCCTTCCTCGTTTTGGGCGGTCTCCCGTTGCAACACGCTCGCTACCTCATTTCCGTCTACTTTTTTGCACCCTACTGTTTGATTTGTCTATTGTTCACAGAATATTGTACACACACACCTTTTTTCTTGAGGAGTCGCTTCTTGTCGTTGACCTGTTTTACCGACTGCCGGTGCATTGCGTCGGTGTAGATTCGTGTTTACTGTCAATGTGAATTTTTAATTATGCTTATGTTTATTGATGAACTCTTTATGTGTCCAATACTTATTGTAATACATTCAGTCATTCAGTAGTGTACAATATATTTAAGTAATATTTTTAATAGCATAATTAATTTGAGCTAAAAATATTAATCTGACTTGAAAGTATGTTTAATTTGATCTTAAATTTATAAACTACCATAATGTAACCTAACCTAATATCTGTAACCTAGAATAATTTCCTAAACAAACCTACCATAATGTAACCTAACCTAATATCTATAACCTATAATAGTTTCCTAAGCAAACCTTAAATTTCCTAACCAAACCCAAGCTAAAATATTAAGTGTGACAGCTGATGCATAAAAGGTTTTGTCCAGTAATTATTGATCCCGAGTTAAAATGACACGTGTAAGTTTCGGAATACGGCAGAATATTGAAAATAATAAAATTTCAAGTTGATATACGATCTCATTACCCGTCATGATGCCATAATCACAACCGTGGGATCTGATTCGAAGTTTTTGATCGTCGATCCCGGAGATGCTATCTCTTACAACCACGATCCACTCTTTAATTTTTCTTCCCTCTTCCTCCTTCCTCTTCTTTCGCGTAAGTTCGAACCGCGTAATCACTTCAAATTGTGCATCCCCTCGTTAATTTTCCTCTCGTTGCAAACGAGAAACGATAAGAGATTCTTCTTCGTCAATTTATGAATTTAATGAGGAATTATAACCTACCGGTTGAGTATTAACTTTCTATTAACCAGCATCCACTGTTTCATTTATTTTCGTTCTAGTCACTGTTTTTCTTTCACGTCGAATATGATTAATAACCGTTAAGTGTTTATTAATTATCACACGCTTAGAACAAAAGCGAAGGAAGGTTAACAGAAAATGGCAGATGGCCTTGAACGTCGCGTGTTACTCCCTGTATAATTATCAAAATTTCTGTTATTGCACAGTATCAAATTAATCTCCTGATCCACGTAGAAAAGATAAGAAATGATGAATGCAGGACGAATAATATATATCTTAATAATAAAGCGCAAAATGGTGGAGGCAGAATCTCAGATGTTAACCGAGGAACTAAAATCATTAATCAAAATCCCTCGCCCTTTTCTCGCTCTTTTGATCCCTTCTGAGCGATAAGTAATTCATTAGGCATTGACTAACTCCGTCCAGCCGTCTATTAGGAAGCCCACGAAGAACGAGGAACCGTAACGAATTAAGTAAATAATACACGTGAAATTCAAGAAAGTCTTTCACAATGCTGCTTCATAAAGTCAGAGTCGTATATAATGAGAAACATCGATTCGTTTCGATACGGCTTGCGTATCTTACGAGCCTTTGAGCACTTAACCTCAATGACCTTGGAGGACTTAGGGAATCTAGAGAACTTAGGTACTACTTTGGTGAGTTTGGACGTATGGGGTGACTGTAGGTACTATGGATACTAGGGTTATAATGGACAGTAGGGATAGTAGGGATGTGGGTACTAGGGACATTAAGTCATTTAAGTGTAGTAGCTATGGAGTGTGGGTTTCCAGGGAACTTGGGGATGTAGGAACCGTATCCTAGGAAGTTTAGGAGATCCAATGTATCTATGGAATCCCATGTCCAAATTCCTTGAAGGAGTCTAAAGCTTCTAGGATACTAAAAAGTCTAAGTACGTGGCCCTAGGGAATATAGAAAACCTAGAACTGTAGAAATACTAGAGAGCCTAGAATTGTTATTGAAATGAGAAGGAAAAGTATTAATTGTCATCCGGCAAAAAGTGCAGAGTACAACAAGAAGAATTTCAATAACCGTAACAGCAACAACAGTCTGGCAAACACAACAACCTAAAATTACCGAGGCACCGTCGTATCGCAGCGGTGCGCGGAGATAAAGAAGAAAATCGAAAGGGGAATAAGATGAAAGACAAGAGCAAGGAGAAGAACAAAGAAGGGGAAGGAGCAGAAAGGGAAGCAAAAGAGAACGAGGCGAAGCGAGGTGGTAAAAGGAGGAGAAGGATGCTCCTAATTCGTAGTTCTGGGCGGGGTTTTTTTCGACGAGAAAGAGGGGAATAGCCGGCGAGCGTGCGGGTGCGAGGGAGCACGGGCTAGCAGAGAGCGAGCTGAGGTATAAATTGGTTTGTTTGCCACGGAGATAAAAGGGGCCGCTAAATGTTATCTTTAAGGTGTCGGATCAACGCAAATGTGGCTGAGTTACTCGTAATTATAGTATACGCGGAGCTCGGCCCTCGTCTCTACTTGCCGCCTCACGGGCTCGTTTCTCGTGCGGCCCTCATTGGCGTAACTATCGATCGCGATCCACGACCAGATAGCACCGGGCCCGGGCTCGATACTTGTTTGGTTAGACGAACGATCGACCGATCCGATCCGACCAGATCCGATTCGATCCGCAGATCGCCGAGCCGAACGAGACGATTCCCTCTGGGCTACCAATAATTTACGGCAAACTGACGTTTCTCGTCCCTTCGGCCGCTTATGGACATGCTTAAAATGTAATGAAAATATAACGATTATGAAGTTATAACGCAATCCAATGCTTTTTGTATAAATTAGTAATGGAGATGTAGTAAAATGTTAAAACCACACTAACATACTGTATTGAAATTGTTAGTTTGATCTAACTTAATGCTGGGAACGTTGATTCAACCTAACCTAATATTTGAAACCTTAATCTAACTTAACCCGATATTCAGAACCTTAATCTAACATAACCTGATATTCAGAATCTTAATCTAATCTAACCTGATATTTGAAACCTTAATCTAACCTAACCTGATATTTAAAACCTTAATCTAACCTAACCTGATATTTAAAACCTTAATCTAACCTAACCTGATATTTGAAACCTTAATCTAACCTAACCTACTCTACTGAAATATTTAAATTAACCCATCTGCATATATTTATTTAACTCAGCAAAACAGAAAGAAATAAGAAGAATTGAATTTTAAAGCAAACTAATATGTAATATCTTGATAAATTCTCTGAATTTTGGGGGACATTACGCCAATGGAAATGCTTTTTATCCCAGTTTCCAACAAGATGGGCCTTCCCATTGGTGCGTCTCGGAACAGCCGCGTGTACAGTGGGTCCAACATTATAGTACAAAATAATAATTCATAAATTATACGCGTCTCGGCCATTTAGAGGCTTAGGTATACAGCTCACTGCAGGTGATTCTGGTGCAGGTATATCAATAAGCCTCGCTAAGACTGCAACCATTATATACCGGGTGTTGCTAAAGTATTGTGAGCTGATTTATGCATAATACGTTATGATTATACTTGTTCAACACTATACCATCACGAGAGAGTCTTACAAAGTAGTTTTATATTACTATCCTTCTATTGATTATTTCAAATAAAGCTTCTTTTCAAATTCCAAAGTTATGTTCACACAGACATGAGAATACTATAAAAATGATACCTTATGCGACATCTGACATCTAAATGCTGAACTGCGAATGAACACCTGTTGGTATGTTACCTACAATTCATTGTTTTGATTAAAATTTTTACACTAGAGGACACTGTGTTATAATTCCAACACCGATTATTGAAACAAAGAAAAACTAAATCTCACCGCCTTTTTTAAAATAATTCACCTTATTCAATCTTCCATTCTCATTCAAATGTCATAAATATTCTAGTGTTCCAAATTAATGACACCATTCTTTTAATTCTGTTTAATATAAAACATATAAATTACATTATACTTTTAATAAATGATATCAAAATGATATTTATTACATGAGAAATTAATCGACACCTTCGTTCCATTCATTACATTACAAAATTTCAGGGTGTGCATTAAATTCATCTCGTAGTCTCCTCTCAATAGCAGGTAAAGACTTATAATCAACTTCAATATTGAAACTGACATACACAGGCTTCGACAGCTTCTTTGAGAGTCTTTGAGCAAGGTTGCTTGAAGCTTCGTTAACAACTGGCCCCATAATTTTTGTCGCAAGTGGTTGTTTCTCATAAGGTGATACAATTGCGAATGACAAATCATTCATGGCATTTTCATTGAAATCACCCAACCATAAGTAAAGACAATTTTCCATTTTGATTATGTGGCAAGCTATAGATTTGTCACCAATATCAGTCATAAACTCATGGAACTTGAAAGAACATTCAGGTTTACTTTCTTCCACTGATTCATTTCCCATTCTGATTTTTGTTTAACTGTTCACTGACTTATCACCTTAAGAATTGCTGACTAGGATAAACATGCAAGAACATAACCTTACAAATTTCAAATAAATGTTTTAGCAGAAAGGAGATACATGATAGAGTATTCATGTCATTGTTCTTGTCACACGATCTGCAGTACTGACTAAGTAATTGTACTTCGATTAGCAAATTTGCACTAATTTCGGTTTTGTAAAGTTAAAAGATTACGAAGTTAATTAATCTTGCACTCCAATATGACTTAACGCATATTATAGTCAATTAAGCTAATAAAATTTACTATTTTAATAGAATTGAACTAGGAACATACACGTAGCGCCTCTGGCGGTAGAACGTGGTGCCAGTGTTGGGCAGTCCCAGTGCATGCGCAGTAAACTATCCGTAGAAGTCCTCAGTAGCGTATACACTTTGATGAAATATAAAGTATCATTAGGCCCTAGTAAGGAAAAAAAAAATAAATCTGAAGAAAATTGCAGAAAAGAGAATAAAAGGGTTAAAAGTTATTGTGCTGTTGTGTTATTTCAAATATAATAATCTCCTATATTCCATCATATTATTCCCATTATATTATATTATATAATTCACGATATATACATATATATATATTAATAAATAATCATTTTGCAACATATCTGCAAGATTAAGTTAAAAAAAATTAATAAATTTAAATAATTACAACAATAAATTTGTTAATAAACTACCAAAAAATATAAAATTATAAAAAATATGACGTTAGAATAATTATACAGCAACCAATGAGAGTGGCTGCACGCTATTGGTGGATTACATGATGTCTGATTGGCTACTGTACACTAGCAATCACTCTTGCACTTCGATTAGATCTATTGGTCGATTACGTGATGTCTAATTGGCTACTGTAAACTAC